TATATATATATATATATATATATATATATACATATATATATACATATATATATACATACATTTATATACATATCTGCCCTTAGTTTATTCGTTAGTTAATAATTTTTTCTAAACTTCGGAATTATCCGTTATGCAATTGCAAGTCCTTGCTCATGTGACAGCACGAGGGGTGACTAGTTGCAAGATTCTCAGGGACTGTGTTGCAATGAAGTTATCTGTTGCAAGTCACTAAAATGCTGTTAATGCATAGATGATGCCCTGAAAAAGAAGACGGGATCAAGGTCGCGAACACGTCCGTTTCTTAGAACTGAGTTTGTGGATTTTTAATACAAAGGGCGAAATGGGTGGGATTTATTTATTGTTATATATATATATATATATATATATATATATATATATATATATATATATATATATATATATATATATATATATAATTTTTTTTTTTTTTTTTTTTTTTTTTTTTTTTTTTTTTTTTTTTTTAGGGATTTATTTAGGATTAATAAGTTAGATTGATTTTGTAATATAGATTGTAATTTTTTCCTTTTCTCTCCAGCTCCCCCACCCCAATTTGTCTCCCACTTCCCCCCCCCCTTCCACGCCCCTCCCCTTCCCCCAACTTTTCTTCCCCCCCTCCCCTCTCACTTAAAAAAAAAAAAAAATTAATTCTTAGCTTTGAACTATTCTATTTTTGTTCTTGTCAGAAATATACGCTGGTTTCTGGTGCATGTCGGCTTGGGGGGATGGTAACGCGACCTGACCAGTAATTATGGGTAAAATTGGCCGACTATTTTATGTAGCTGGAGGGTGGAGGGAGGGAGTGGGAGGGGAAAGGAGACGAGAGGAGAAGGGAGGTGGGGGAGAGGGGAGGAGAAGGGAGGTGGGGGGAGGGGAAAGGAGAGGAGGGGGGAAGGGAGGTGGGGGAGAGGGGAGGAGAAGGGAGGTGGGGGGAGAGGAGAGGAGAAGGGAGGTGGGGGGAGGGGAAAGGAGAGGAGAGGGGAAGGGAGGTGGGGGAGAGGGGAGGAGAAGGGAGGTGGGGGGAGAAGGGAGGTGGGGGGAGAGGGGAGGAGAAAGGAGGTGGGGGGAGAGGGGAGGAGAAGGGAGGTGGGGGGAGAGGGGAGGAGAAGGGAGGTGGGGAGAGAGGGGAGGAGAAGGGAGGTGGGGAGAGAGGGGAGGAGAAGGGAGGTGGGGAGAGAGGGGAGGAGAAGGGAGGTGGGGGGAAAGGGGAGGAGAAGGGAGGTGGGGGGAGGGGAAAGGAGAATAGAGGAGAGGAGAGGAGAAGGGAGGTCGGGGGAGAAGAGAGGAGAGGGAGGTGGGGGGAGAAGAGAGGAGAGGGAGGTGGGGGGAGAAGAGAGGAGAAGGAGGTGGGGGGAGAAGAGAGGAGAGGAGAGAAGGGAGGCGGAGGGAGTTGTTCTCTTTAATTTTTACTCTTTCTCTTGTCTCCATCTTTTTTTTTTCATTCTTATTGATTCTTGTCTTTTTCAAGGCTTTCACTGTATTTCTTTCTTGTTTCCATATCCGCTTTCTTTCTATCCCTTCCTTTTCCTATGTCATTTACTTTTATCTCCCTTCTCCCAAACGTTATCTTCTCGCTCTCTTCACTCTTTTCAAATTATTCTTACCTTTACTCTTCTTTCTCATGTCTTCCGTTTCTTTCCTTTCGTCTTCTCCCGTTTGATCATCTTTTTATTTTCCTCTTCATTTACATTCCTAGTTTTACTCTTTTGTCTTTTCCTTTCCTCATTCCCCGTTTTCTTTATCCTTGCCTTTCCTAATCTCCAGTCTCATTATCCATTCCTTTCCTCCTTCCCTTTTTCATTATCCATTCCGATTCTCCCTCCTACTATCCCTTCTATTCCTCTCTCCGCCCACTCTTTTATTCTCTCCTTCTTTCCCCTTTTCTCACACGCTCCCGCCTCCACCCCTTTCCTTCTTCTCACACGCCACCCCCCTCCCCCCCTCCCCCCTTTTCCCTTTTTCACACGCCACCCCCTCCCTCCCTCCCTCCCCTCCCCCTTTTCCCTCTTCTCACACGCCACCCCCACCCTCCGCCCTACCCTTCCCTCCCCACCTCCCTCCCCCCCTCCCTCCCCCCCCTCCCTCCCCCCCTTCCAGGAGTCTCGCCTCACGATTCTTCCCTCAATCCCTCTTATTTCCACCACACAATATGAGCATGTTGTTACGCCCAGCCTAAGCCCCCGAAATGCTCGTGCTTGCATATGATATACACTGTACGTTTCTGGGTTGTCATTTTGCATTTCGGTCTTGTTCTTTGCTGGTTAAGTAATTTGTGAATTGTATGTGTGTGTGTGTGTGTGTGTGTGTGTGTGTGTGTGTGTGTGTGTGTGTGTGTGTGTGTGTGTGTGTGTGTGTGTGTGTGTGTGTGTGTTCATTGTATGTATGTGTGTGTGTGTGTGTGTTAGTGTATGTGTATGTGTGTTTTGTGTTTGTTGTACTGAAGTGTTTAGGTCTCTAAATGGGTGATATTTTTTTCGTTTCGCCTTGCACTTAATCATCATATTATATCCACTTTTTGTTTTGTTTTTGTTTTATTCAGCTTTATAATACACTCCATTTAAATGTTATCTTTTCTTTCGCTGATGGTTTCATGTTAGCAATTGATTAGATTTCAGAATATCATTAAATTGCCTTTCGTGATACGTTGTTGAGGAACATGTTGCGTGTTGGTTCCTTGTTAGAAAAAAAGAAAGAAAAAAAAATCTTTAGTTTTACTGTGTGCTTGTTGTTGTTGCTATTGGCACCAGTCCTCTTGTCGTCTTCCTCGTCTTAATTGTCATTATGATGATAGTAACGATGATGATGGTAGCGATAATGTTGTTGATTATGAGAAAGGTGATGTTAACAATAATAATAATGAAGATTATGAAGATAACAGTAAAAGTAATAATGATAATAATAATAATAATAATAATAATAGTAATTATAATTATGATAATAGTAATAATAATAATAATAATAATAATAATAATAATAATAATAATAATAATAGAATGGTTATAGTGAATACAAAAAAATAGTCGTTCTTGTTATTGATAAATTGGCTATCATTCATCATTACGATACTACTACTACTATTAGTAATTATTATTACTCCAGTTGTTATTTGTCTCCTCCCCCCCCTACTCTCTCTCTCGTCTTCTTAAAAACGACTGGATGCCAATGCTCGTGATTCATGCCATGGCAACGAATGCGCCGTCTCAAAAGCTCCAGCTGTGATTGATGACTCACGGTCGATCACGCTTACCCTGGACATGGTAATACCTGGGTCGCGCTGACTGTATTGGTGGTGGTGTTATTGGTACTGGTATTATTGTTGGTGGTAGTAGTAGCAGGGGATGTAGTAGATGTATTAGTGGTAGTAGTAGTAGTATCGTGCATTCGTATTAGTAATGATGTAACATTACATTTTTTTCCTCCTTCATTTCCTGTTGATTTCTTTCTTCATTCTTCTCTTATCCCACTGATCCATCTCTTATTCTTCTGTTTTTTTTTCTTTCTACTCTGTTATCTCCTCTCTCTATCATATCTATCTCCTCTCCTTTCTCTCCTATCTCGCCCTCTACCTTTCGCCATCTCGATCTGTTTCTCCCCTTTCCCCTTCCCCCTCTCCCTCACTTTTCTGCCTTCTCCCCTCTCTTTCTCATTTTCTCGTTTCCTCTAACCCCTCTGTCCTCTTATGTCTCATGTGCCCTCTCTCTCTCCTCATCTGTCTTACCTCTTCTCTCCTCCTTTCCCTCACTCCCCTGACTGTGCTCCCCTCGCTCTTCTTCCTTCACTCCTCACCCCTCACCGTTCTCCCCTCGCTCCTCTCCCCTCGCACAGCATTATGCTCTCTCGACGCTCCTATGGGAGGCATTCCGTGCCAGTCAAGGCTTCAGGTGACCTATTTATTGAGTGCCAGTGTCTCGTGGTGTTTGATGTGCGTGGGGCTGGTGTTGATTAAAGGTGTTTGATATTGGTTATGGTTCGAGGGTAGGTACCCCCACCAACCCCCGTTTAGGGAACTTATTGGGGTCGTTTGGGGGGAGGAGTTATTGGGGTTGCTTGGGGGAGGAATTATTGGGGTTGTTTGGGGGGAGGAATTATTGGGGTCGTTTGGGGAGGAGTTATTGGGGTAGAGGGTGGAGTCGTGTTGGGGTTATTGCGGCGTTTGGGGAGTTTTGGGGGTCGTGTTGGGTGTGTGTTATTGCGGCGTTTGGGGGAGTTTTGGGGTCGTGTTGGGGTTATTGCGGCGTTTGGGGGAGTTTTGGGGTCGTTTATGGGGAATTTTGGGGGGGTCGTTTGGGAGGGTTGCTGGGGGGAGTGGTTGAAGGGGATGGTGGGGATAGGGTGGGGGTTGAATGTTGGAGGTTGGAGAAGAGGTTTGGGAGGTGCGTCGGTAAGGCTTGTGCCGTTGCAAATAGTGTCTGGAGGGGGTTGCAGGCGGTTTGATGATTTTTTTATGGGGGGTGGGAAGGGGGTGGGGTAGATGAAGAAAGATCTTGTAGTTTTTTTCAATTTTGTGAAGGGGTTTTGGGGTTTAGACGAGGTTAGCTGGGGAATAGGGGATGGTTAGGAGGCAACGTAATATTAGGTGACGAGGGAAGAAGGGTGGGGGGAGGGGGGGTAGATGACTTAGAAGTTTTATAAAGGGGACCAACTTTCACGTAAAAGGGTTAGGGAAACTTAGGTTGAATACAAAACGGGTCTCGGACAGTGCGGGTTTAAGGGGAGAGGTTAATTATAGTTTGTTATTGAAGTGGAGAGAAACTCTGGTCGTTGTGGGGGGTCTTTAGAACTTTACCCCCCCCCCCTTTTTTTTTTTACTCATTTATTTATTTAGATAATTAGAAAATTATTGAGATGTGTGTTATGAGAGTTCTGGACGTCGTAGGTAGGTCTTTGGTTCGCCGAGATAGTGACTGAGCCGTCAGAAAATGGATCCGCGGAGGGGAAGAGGGTCGTTGGGCGGGCGAGTCGTCCCGAGGCGACCGCGGGAGATGACGACGCTCCGTGACAATGACGACATTAACGACTTGGCGAGCCATTGTCTCCCAGCTCCGGACTGCCATCAGCCTCGTCCTCATCGGGAGGCGACGATGACGAGGAGACTCCGTTGTGTCGGAAATAGTTGTTGACTGCTGGGGGAGGAGGGGGGGAGTGGGGAGATGAGGGGGGGGGGAGAAGAAGAGGGGAAGCGAGAAGGGGGTCCATTTGGGGTTCATTTATACAATCAGAGGATAGACAGATATCCCCCACGGAGCGAGGAAGGCAGGTACGCACGGGCTTACGATAAATACATGCTCCTTCAGGACCGTATACAAAACAATTAAGCGTTTACGAGAGAAGTAAAAAAGGAAGTAAAGAAACAGGTACAAAAAAGAATTAACAAGAACAAAATTACTGTTAAAAGAGCATCATATTTTTCACGCGGGTGGGCGGGCGGGCGTAAAGCGGTGTGGACGAGCACGTACGGCACGTGTCACAATGCATACTCCTCCCCCTCCCCCTTTCTTGCTTCCTCTCCCTCCCCTCTCCTCCCTTCCCTCCAAACTTCCCTCCCAACTTCCCTCCCTCCCTCCAAACTTCTATCTTCTCCCTCCTTCTATCTTCTCCCTCCTTGTTTACTCGTTCTCCCCCTCCCACGTTTCCTCCACCCTTTCCTCCTCCCACCCCCATCCTCGGCGCCTTCTTCTATACGCTTACCCCCCTCCCCCACCCTTCCACCCCCTCCCCCCGTCCTTCCCCCCCACCCACAAGAATTCTCAAGGTCTTTCACAGAGATGAAGGTTGCTCCATATTTTTTCAACCGTCGTGTCACTCAGAGATGAGGTAGGGGTTGGAGGGAGGGAGGGAGGGAGGGAGGGAGGGAGGGAGGGTGAGTAAGGGAGCGGGGGGATGTGGGAGGTGGGGGGGGAGAAGGTCATGGCGGTTGGAGAGAAAAAAGGTGGGTAAAGGGAGGGTGGTGATGAAGGGTGAATCGCTCACGGGGAAGAGAAATGGGAGAGAGAATGAGAGATGGGAAGAGACGAGGCAGTAAAAGAAAGAGAGAGAGAGGGAGAGAGAGAGAGAGAGAGAGAGAGAGAGAGAGAGAGAGAGAGAGAGAGAGAGAGAGAGAGAGAGAGAGAGAGAGAGAGAGAGAGGACGGAAAACAAGGAAAGAAAACTGAAAGAAGGAAAAATGAAGACTGTTTAGACTTCGTAAATGTTGAATTTTTTTTGGCGTTATTTCCCCACCTCCTCTTTCTTTCTTTCTCTTTCTCAAACAGTAGTTTTCAGCTCCGTTACTTTGCTTGTTCAGAGCGTGTGTGAGAAATAAACAAAACTGGGAAGTCGGAGAAAGAGAAACTATTTGTTCATACGCGTAACGAAAAGGCCATCGTGCATTTTGAGAGAAATTGGAAGTGTGTATGGAAAGCCGCTCAAAAAAGAGAAAAAAAGTTTCTATATTTGGAGTCCATGATGGAAACTGGGAGGGAGGGAGGGAGGGAGGGAGGGAGGGAGGGAGGGAGGGAGGGAGGGAGGGAGGGAGGGAGGGAGGGAGGGAGGGAGGGAGGGAGGGAGGGAGGGAGGAGGGAGGGAGGGAGGGAGGAATGAAGACGGAGGGAGGAGGGAGGGAGGGAGGAGGGAGGGAGGGAGGAGGGAGGGAGGGAGGGTGAGTAAGGGAGCGGGGGGATGTGGGAGGTGGGGGGGGAGAAGGTCATGGCGGTTGGAGAGAAAAAAGGTGGGTAAAGGGAGGGTGGTGATGAAGGGTGAATCGCTCACGGGGAAGAGAAATGGGAGAGAGAATGAGAGATGGGAAGAGACGAGGCAGTAAAAGAAAGAGAGAGAGAGAGAGGAGAGAGAGAGAGAGAGGAGAGAGAGAGAGAGAGAGGAGAGAGAGAGAGAGGAGAGAGAGAGAGAGAGGAGAGAGAGAGAGAGGAGAGAGAGAGAGAGAGGAGAGAGAGAGAGAGAGAGAGAGAGAGAGAGAGAGAGAGAGAGAGGAGAGAGAGAGAGAGGAGACGGAAAACAAGGAAAGAAAACTGAAAGAAGGAAAGATGAAGACTGTTTAGACTTCGTAAATGTTGAATTTTTTTTGGCGTTATTTCCACCTCCTCTTCTACTTTTCTTCTTGTTCTTGTTCTTTTATTCCATTACTACTTCGTCTGGTCCTCCTCTTCCTCCTACTCTGTTTTATTTTGCTTTTCATTTTTCTCTGCCTTCCCCTACTGCTCCATATAATTCTGGCAAGCACGATCATGAGTAGGCCAGCCTCAATGGTCTATATTTGTGCTTAAACGTCAGATATTCTTAGCGAGCTCCTAAGCATAGAACGCACATCCATGTTCTTATACTCACTCACTCACTCACTCTTTCACACAAGCACACATTCTGACTCACCCACTCACGCACTCAGTCAGTCAGTCTCTCTCTTCTCTCTCTCTCTCTCTCTCTCTCTCTCTCTCTCTCTCTCTCTCTCTCTCTCTCTCTCTCTCTCTCTCTCTCACTCACTCACTCACTCACTCCTCACTCACTCACTCACTCACTCACTCACTCACTCACTCACTCACTCACTCACTCACTCACTCATTCACTCATTCACTCACTCACTCGCACAGGCACACATACACTAACTTACTTATCCACTCACTCACTCACTCACTATTTCTCTCAGTTATTCGCACCCGCATGGAGACCGTGACAGATCGAGAAAAAAATGTTATCAAGGAAAAAACAAAGACGCTTGTTTTTTTTTTATTTTCTTGTTGATATATTTTCGCTTAATATACTGTAATTCATGGGTTCTTGGCAACGATTGCTTTGGTGATGACAGTGATGAAGTATTGCATTTTTTTTGCAATGGTGACGGTGATGGCAAGAGTTGTGGTGATGGTACACGTAAGGACGACGTGTGGCATCGGGAAATGGTTGTAATGACTGTTATAAGGGGCAGTAGTATTGGCGATAATGGGACACAGGAACGCCATTATGATAAACGTATGCTGATGGTGACCACTCTCGTTCTTACGGAGGAGGTCGCGTTGCTTTCTCCATCCTTGTATCTCCCTCTTTCTCCCTCTTTTTCCCTCTTTTCCTCTCTCCTTCTCTTCCATTTCCCCCCAACCCCCACCCCTCTCTCTCTTTCCCTCTCTCTTTCTCTCCCTCCCTCTCTCCTTCTCTTCCATTCCCCCCTCCCACCCCCTTTCCCTCCCTCTCTCCTCTCTCTTCCATTCCCCCCTCCCACCCCTCTCTCTCTTCCCTCTCTCTTTCTCTCCCTCCCTCTCTCCCCCTCCCTCTCCCGCTCCCCCCTCTTCCTCCCTCCCACTCCCAATCCCTGATCTTCCTTTCCCACTCCTTCCACTCCCTCTCTCCCCTTCCTCCCTTTCCCTTCTCTTCCTTCCTCCCTCCCCCCCCACCTTCCCTTCTTATAACCCCCTTTTCTTTCGCTTCCCCCCTCTTTTTTTTTCTTCCCCCCCCTCCCCCCCAACTCTATCGCCAACCCGTGTGTCGTGTGTCAAGAGTGTTTGACCTTGTTGCCGTGGGAATTGTGCTCGCGGTCCCATTGGTCGTCGATGTGTCTATATTTAGAGAGTTATAAGATTTATTTTGGTCGGCGGTGGATTATCATTTCTGTGGGTTGGAGGGGAGGAGGGAAGGGAAGGGGAGGAAGGGAGGGAGGGAGGGAGTAAGAATGAAGTAAAGAAGGAGGAGGAGGAGAAGGGGAAAGGAAAGGGAAAGGAAAAGGAGGAGAAGGGGAAGGAGAAGGAGAAGGAGAAGGAGAAGGAGAAGGAGAAGGAGAAGGAGAGTTGAAGGGAGAGAAGGAGAAGGAGAAGGAGAAGGAGAAGGAGAAGGAGAAGGAGAAGGAGAAGGAGAAGGAGAAGGAGAAGGAGAAGGAGAAGGAGAAGGAGAAGGAGAAGGAGAAGGAGAAGGAGAAGGAGAAGGAGAAGGAGAAGGAGAAGGAGAAGGAGAAGGAGAAGGAGAAGGAGAAGGAGAAGGAGAAGGAGAAGGAGAAGGAGAAGGAGAAGGAGAAGGAGAAGGAGAAGGAGAAGGAGAAGGAGAAGGAGAAGGAGAAGGAGAAGGAGAAGGAGAAGGAGAAGGAGAAGGAGAAGGAGAAGGAGAAGGAGAAGGAGAAGGAGAAGGAGAAGGAGAAGGAGAAGGAGAAGGAGAAGGAGAAGGAGAAGGAGAAGGAGAAGGAGAAGGAGAAGGAGAAGGAGAAGGAGAAGGAGAAGGAGAAGGAGAAGGAGAAGGAGAAGGAGAAGGAGAAGGAGAAGGAGAAGGAGAAGGAGAAGGAGAAGGAGAAGGAGAAGGAGAAGGAGAAGGAGAAGGAGAAGGAGAAGGAGAAGGAGAAGGAGAAGGAGAAGGAGAAGGAGAAGGAGAAGGAGAAGGAGAAGGAGAAGGAGAAGGAGAAGGAGAAGGAGAAGGAGAAGGAGAAGGAGAAGGAGAAGGAGAAGGAGAAGGAGAAGGAGAAGGAGAAGGAGAAGGAGAAGGAGAAGGAGAAGGAGAAGGAGAAGGAGAAGGAGAAGGAGAAGGAGAAGGAGAAGGAGAAGGAGAAGGAGAAGGAGAAGGAGAAGGAGAAGGAGAAGGAGAAGGAGAAGGAGAAGGAGAAGGAGAAGGAGAAGGAGAAGGAGAAGGAGAAGGAGAAGGAGAAGGAGAAGGAGAAGGAGAAGGAGAAGGAGAAGGAGAAGGAGAAGGAGAAGGAGAAGGAGAAGGAGAAGGAGAAGGAGAAGGAGAAGGAGAAGGAGAAGGAGAAGGAGAAGGAGAAGGAGAAGGAGAAGGAGAAGGAGAAGGAGAAGGAGAAGGAGAAGGAGAAGGAGAAGGAGAAGGAGAAGGAGAAGGAGAAGGAGAAGGAGAAGGAGAAGGAGAAGGAGAAGGAGAAGGAGAAGGAGAAGGAGAAGGAGAAGGAGAGGGAGAGGGAGAAAGAAAAATAGAAAGAGAAAGAATTATGGTTAGAGAGAGAGAGAATGAGAGAAATATTGAGTGTGAGAGAATGAACGAATGTATAAATATAATGAATGCATATACCTGGTGCAGTATGTGTTCAGCACGTTGCCTTAAATAACGAAAAACTTTTTTTTTCTGTATTGTAAATCTGAATGAACAATTTATGCGATTTGTTGAGTTGTTTTTGTTTCTGTTTATGATCTATTTGTTTTTATATGTCAGATCATTTTTTTAAAATATATACCGTGTGTTGAAAGCTTTAGTTATATTTTATAATCTAGGTCCGATGGAGACACCGCATACAGTGTCAAATGGAATGGCTGTTCCTTGACAGTGAAATGACCAAATAAATCCTTCTGGTCTTACGCAAGTTAGAATTTGGATGCTGTGTGTGTGTCGTTATTACGCGAAGGCCTACCGATACCGTTATCGCCTCCATCTACTCTTCCACTTGTACCGCTTCCATCTACTTCATCTCCAGTATCTCCTTCAGTTCCACTTCCAGTTTGTCCGTCGCGCCCCACTCCACAATTGCCGCACCGCCACTATCTCCGTCTCCACCACTTCCTCCGTCTCTACCACTTCCTCAGTCTCCACCACTTCCTCAGTCTCCACCACTCCCTCCGTCTCTACCACTCTCCTTCACCACTCCCTCCGTCTCCACCACTCCCTCCGTCCAACCACTGCCCCCGTCCTCACCACTCCCTCTGTCTCCTCCATCACCTCCACCTCCAACTCCACCTCCTCCAGTTTTAAATTAGAAAGCGGAGTATTTATAAACTGTATAATATTCATCCAACTTTTCAGCGATTAACTCCTCCTCTCTGCCCCCGCCCCCCCTCCTCCCCTTTCCCCCCTCCCCCCTCTTTCTTTTTGTGGGTCCTGATGGTCTTGTTTAGGCTGGGGAATTGTCTGTTAAATTGCATTAGCATAGCAGAAGTGTTACGTTTTCTCTTTTTTTTATGTATGATTAAAAAGGGTGTGTTTCGTAGGCGTGTAAGTGTGTGGTGGGTGTATTTGTTTGCAGCCTTTGTCTCTCTTTTGTTTATTGTGTGAGGTGTACCTTGCTCTTTTTCATTTATTTTGCTCTGTATTTCGTCCCTCCCTCCCCCCTATTCCCCTGTTCTTTATTCAACCCACTATTTCATGTGTTATTTGATTTGATCTTTGTTTTCATTTTCCTTCACTTCGTTTCATGTTTGGTACATTTGTGAAAAGTCGCGAAAATTGTTTTAAGGTTCCAGTAACATGTGTAAAATTGTAACTAAGGTCGGAGAGTCGGATTTTTTTAAAAACTACCCGTGGACATCGAGTTCTCAGGGTTTTTTTACGGATTTACTTTATAATCGAAAAAGAAAGTTATCAAAATTTTTTGGTTTGGTTTTTAAAATCAGGATTGCTGGGGTTCCAGGAATCTTAACCTTGTTTCCAATGGGTTTGATTCATTTTTAGAACAGTGCTTAATCTCCTTCTCACTCATTAAAAAAAAAAAAATACAATCACCATTTAAACACCGCTTGCATTCAATCTGTCTCTTATCCCCCTTTTTATTTCATTTTTATATACCTACTTCCCCAAGTCCCCACCCCCTTACCGCCCGCCGCCATCCTACCTACCTGCCTACCTACCTGCCTACCTGCCTGCCTGCCTGCCTGCCTGCCTGCCTGCCTGCCTGCCTGCCTGCCTGCCTGCCTGCCTGCCTGCCTGCCTGCCTACCTACCTTCCTGCCTACCTACCTTCCTGCCTACCTACCTGCCTACCTACCTGCCTACCTATCTGCCTACCTACCTACCTGCCTACCTACCTGCCTACCTACCTACCTACCTGCCTAACTACCTGCCTGCCTGCCTGCCTGCCTGCCTGCCTGCCTGCCTGCCTGCCTACCTACCTTCCTGCCTACCTACCTGCCTACCTACCTGCCTACCTACCTGCCTACCTACCTGCCTACCTACCTACCTACCTGCCTAACTAACTACCTACCTACCTACCTACCTACCTACCTACCTACCTACCTACCTGTTGCCGCCCCGTCTACATGTTGATCCTGAACCCATATAGTTTCTCTCTACATGGTGTCGGATGTCTTTGCGGTGATGTAGTAAACCGCTGGCAGGTGTCAAAGGGTTGGGGTGGGGTGGGGGTGATTTAAACGTTTGGGGGGCTTCGTTGGGCGGGAGGGGAAGGGGGGAAGGGGAGAAGTAAGGGAAGGGATGGGGGAGAAGGAAGGGAAGGAATAGGGGAAAAGGGGAAGAGGGAGAGGGGAGAAAGAAGGAAAGGGATGAGGGAGAGGGGAGAAGAGAGAATGGAAGGAGGAGAGGGGAGAGGGAAGGGGTAGGGATGTGATTAGCAGTGAAATTAACCCTTCGAGAGGTAGATAGAAGTGGCCTGGGTCTCATTTAGAGACATTCCTTTCGTCGTCCGCCGTCCCTCTTTCCCTTCTCTTCCTACCTCCCCTCGCCATGCGTGTGTATGGTGGTTGGAGCGCAGGACTTGTGTATATTTAGATGTTTTGCAGTAGAGCTGGCGTTGATGTATCTCTCTCTCTCTCTCTCTCTCTCTCTCTCTCTCTCTCTCTCTCTCTCTCTCTCTCTCTCTCTCTCTCTCTCTCTCTCTCTCTCTCTCTCTCTCTCTATCTGTATCTCTCTATATATACGTATATGTATATATGTCATTCTTCCTTTCTCTCTCTCTGTCTGTGATAAACACGTATCAGTACAGTGCAGATGTCCGTCTGTCTTTCCGTTCATCGACTTGCTACTTGTTTTCCTTTCCCTCTTCCATCATGGCAGTTTAGGGCCTTGTATCCGGGAAAGGATTCGTCAGATGAATGAATGAATGAATGAATGAAAAAAGCAAGCGAAAGAAGGAGACAAGAGCGAAAGGCGATGCTTCTGAAAAAGTTGTGTTGACATCAAATTATTTTCATCGTTATTTTCCTGAAAATAAGAGGCGGGCTAACTTTGTTCACTGTAGGAAGTAGGATGGAGATTTAGGGACTGAATTATCGCCACTGATATTACTAATTTGCTGTCCTTGTAGTAATGGTGAGAATGATAAGATGGGTGATAATTGATAATACTGTTATTATCCTTATCTTTAACCATTTCCGCATCTTCGCATGATTGTTGATGATGGTGGTGGTAATTTTAATGATAATGATAGTAATTATAGTAATGATAATAATGGTAATAATAATAGTGAAGAACAGGAGAATGATAATGATATTGATTATAATTTCTTATTAGTATTTTTGCTGCAATTGTTGCTGTGGTGATAATTTGATGATGATAATCATAACGATAATATATTAATCGAGATATTACGTAATCCATCGTATATAATGCAGGTGGATAGCCTATAAACGGACGTACCAAAATAGACGCAAGGAGACGGATGAGCCGGCAGTCTGAGCGATGACTGATTGACAGGCAGGCAGAGGGTCACGCAGAAGGCATTCATTCCGCAAAATCCTCCCTTGAAGTTTTTTGGTCGGCCGTTCCGTTCCGGCGTTTGGGGCAGCCTGGTCCCGGATGAAGACCTATCGAGGAGGGCAGCAATTAGTGTCCCTTTGTCGTGGGGAGGTGGGGTGTGGACGTGTCTCTCTCTCTCTCTGTCTCTCTCTCTCTCTATCTCTATCTCTATCTCTCTCTCTCTCTCTCTCTCTCTCTCTCTCTCTCTCTCTCTCACTCTCACTCTCACTCTCACTCTCACTCTCACTCTCACTCTCACTCTCACTCTCACTCTCACTCTCTCTCTCTCTCTCTCTCTCTCTCTCTCTCTCTCTCTCTCTCTCTCTCTCTCTCTCTCTCTCTCTCTCAAGCTATTTTATTATTGACCATTGTTGTATTACAGCCATCATATCGATTCTATATTATCCGATATGTATGTATGTCTGTCTTTATACACATTCGTATGTTTATTAATATGTACTCATCATATGATCTACATTGTATCACATGCTATTCTGTCTAGCCGCACACATAGTTGATCACAGACACACTCATATCCACACACACGTTCGTCATATCCTTGTTTGGCACTCCATCCCGTCATCGCAGACATAATAGACGCCCAGTGTTGTGAGAGGTTGAGATACTTCCTGTTTGCCTCTCCTTCTCTCTTTGCCTCTCTTTCTCTCTTTGCCTCTCTTTCTCTCTCTGCCTCTCTTTCTCTCTTTGCCTCTCTTTCTCTCTTTGCCTCTCTTTCTCTCTTTGCCTCTCTTTCTCTCTTTGCCTCTCTTTCTCTCGTTGCCTCTCTTTCTCTCTTTGTCAAGAATGTGCTTCATTGAAATAGGTTATTGCGTGTAATGGGAAACGGCTCTAGTGATTGAGTACGCATTGGTGAGCGTGGGATTGCGTGCGCACGGATGAGCGAAGAATGTTAGATTGGATGTGGTATGGGATCGGTGTGGTAATAGCAGTAATGGAATATCACAATTAGGAAGAGCCAAGAGCTGACGTAGGGGTTGTACATTTTCTTTTTCTTTTTTTCTTTATTTTGTTATCTCTTTCTTTCGCTCTCTTTCTGTCATTTTTATCTTTACGAGTCTGTCTTACCTCCCTCTCGTCCTTTTTACCTTTTTCCCCCCTTACCCCATCTCCCTCCCTCACTCCCTCTCCCCCTCTCCACCTCACCCTCTCCCTCCTTCATCTCCCCCTCTCCCTCCTTCATCTCCCCCTCACCCCCTCTCCCTCCTTCCCTCCCTCCCTCTCCCCTCCCTCACTCCCTCCCTTCCTCTCCCCTCCCTCACTCCCTCCCTCCCTCCCTCACTCCCTCACTCCCTCCCCTCCCTCTCCCCTCCCTCACTCCCTCTCCGACCCTCATTCCCTGACCCTCCTCACTCCTTTCCTACTCCCCCTTCTCGCTCCATCCTTTCATGTGTACAAGTGTGTGTGCGTATATGCTTTCATGATGAATTTCGATCGCCGTTTTCTCGATCGGAATAGCACCTCACAGGTGTGTTCTGTGATGGCAGGATCGGGGTCGCGCGCATGAATGAGTGATTGTGGAGGAAGAGGGAGGAGGAGGAAGAGGGAGGAGGAGGAAGGAGGAGGGACTTGGGAGGAAAGAGGAGAGGGTGGAGGAAGGGGGAGGGACTTGGGAGGAGAGAGGAGAGGGTGGAGGAAGGGGGAGGGACTTGGGAGGAGAGAGGAGAGGGAGGAGGAAGGAGGAGGGACTTGGGAGGAGAGAGGAGAGGGTGGAGGAGGAGAGGAAGGAGAGAGGGAGAGGGAGAAGGAGAGGAAGAGGAAGAACAAGATGAACAAAAAGAACGAGGAAAAGGGGGAGAGAAAAGAAAACAGATAATAATGAAAAAGTAGTGAGGGAGGATGAGGATGATTAAGAAGAAGAAGACGCGGAGTAATAGGGGGAAGAGAGAAAAAATAAAGAGAAAATGGAAAGAAAACAGCGAGAAGGGAGAGTAGAG